ATAGTGAATATAATATTTTTTAATAATAATAGAATTATATAATATAAAAAGTGTAAAAATACTTAAAATAAATGAACTAAGTATTAAAAGAAAGTGCGAAAAGCTCTATAACCAGAATTATAAAAAGAGTAAATATATAGATGCAATGAGTACTATAGAGAGAAGAAAATAATGATGAATAAAAATATAAATATAAAATTAAATAGTAGTTAATCATTGAATCTTTTGAAGAAATTTCAAAAATTCAGAGTATTTATATATATAAATAAGTAGTAATAGATTTTATCTCTAATTTTTCATAAAATAAGAAATAAGTAATGTAGTGATCTGATTCTTTATGAAGTGCTGATTTATACTAATTCTAATTGCTAAATTTTTAGATAATACTGATTTTTTAAATGATACTGATTTCGAAATACTTTGATAAGTAGTGTGAAAAAATAAATACTTTAGTAAGCAGTATAATAAGCAGTAGAATAAGAAGTTAGTATATAGAGTTTTGATATCACAGTTATCTCTCTCTTTTATAGATACTGACCTCAATGACTCTAGAAGATGACTATTTTGAATGCATATAGACATAAAATATTAGTTAATATAGAAAATAATACTTATAGTACTTATTTAGTGATATTGAGAGACTAATTGTATGAGATAATTATCATAAAAGTATTTATTACTATAAGAATAAAAAGAAATATTTTTTACTCTTTGAAACTTTTTTTCTTCTACAATCTTTCAATTATAATCATTATAGATTTTTTGCAGTTGCTGCTGTCTTTAATTTTAAAGTCTTTTCTCATTTCTTTTCTGTCTTTATCAATATAACAGAATTAATTTCTATACTCTTTAAATAAACTTCTCTATTTTTAATATATTTGATATTATTATATGATTATAGCTCATGATTATTGATTATATAACTGACTTTGTCTTAGAAATATTTTCTATGAGTAATACTTGTTCAAGCTAAGTAATTTATCTATAATATGTGATTATTCTCAGTGTAAAAAGTGCTATAATTCTTATTATTTTATATATAAGCTGTGTATTTGAGTAAGTATAGTATATTTTTAGCTGCTATGTCAGAAAAGCCTTTGCACTATCAGTATGATAACTGATTGTTACTTATTTATATTGCTTTTTTTTTAGAGTTAAGTTGATTATTTATTCTTCAGAACTTTTTATTCTTTGTAGATTGAGTGAAATTAGTAAATATCTCATGTTATCAAGTCAAGCTACTGTGTTTAATAGCAGTATTGACAGCTTTTTCTTATACTGCTCATTCAGTAAAGAGCTTATACTGCTGTATTAATTAATGTTATTTATTATGCTCAGTATTAGATTGAGACTTTTGATATACTAATAATATTCTCTGAGAATAAGAAATAAGAAAATATAGAGAAAAAAGTTATATATGAGATAAAGAACTTTGAGTTAACTGAGAAGAAGAGTATTGAGCTTGACGAGAAGAATTACTGTATCTGAGCAGTGTATAATGACTATGATGATTATGAATAGAAAGTAAGTCAGAGAGAACTAGAAATATGTATTTGAGTATCTTAACTTATTCAGATGATAAAAAGATGAAATTTTTCTGAAGATTTGATAATTTTAATATTTTGCTTATCTTATTAAAATCATATGATCAAAAAAAAAAAAAAAAAACTCTTTTGAGAAAAAGTAGTAAAAAAAGTACATATATGAGAAAAAATTAACATTAGATATACTTTTTAGAGTGAGTCTAATGCGCTTATTACTGTGATTTTTGTTGTTAAAAAATATTAAATATCTTAGTCTTTTAAATATTCTTCCTGGGTTCTCATATATTCTCAGAAGATTTATAGCT